GTGGCCCCAGGTTGCTTCTTCTGAGGAGGGAGGAGAGGCATGCGATGAGCCATGCCACTGGTTCGCCCTGAGGCTGCAGGTGGTCTGCAGGAGGGCATGCTGGGATTAATGCCTGCCAGGAGCACAGGAGGGGGTAGTGGTGGAAAAATGTCATATATTTTCCTCCTGAGGTTAAAGCATCCTTTCAGATGTACATCATTCTAGATCCTCATTCCAATAACTTGGCTGATGATATAAAGTTAGGTAAACACCGCAGTGACCCATCCTGACATCCTCTATTATTTCCACACTGGTCTCCAGGCCGGGGTTTGATGGGAAGCCACCCACTACAAGTCAGACCCCTTCATTGGGAGACACGATCAGCCAGAATCTCCTTTGTGCGTCCTTGTGTGTGTTCATAGGTGTGGAACTGGGGTCTAACGGCATGGGGCCTGGGTGGGGACAGGGCCAGTCTATCTTCCCCAGCGCCCAGCACACACTGTAAACGCTGGTGGTCAGCTGGTCTTTCCTGTGGACCAGTCCTTTGGTCTTTGCGCTCAGAGTACCATGCAAGACACCACGTGGGATTCACAGAGGTGGATCTTGCTGGAGATTGAAAACCAGCCTGGGAAAGCGTGGCAAACAGCCTGCTATTGGCCTGTTGGAGATTTAACCACACAAGACCATCTTAAAAGCTCCAATAAGTCCTGCAATCAAGAAATAAATGTAACTTGGTTTTGCTTAAGCATTTCCAGTGCTTATTTGTCCCAGAACCCTTCCAATAATGCAAGATGCTTAGCCTGCTGTGGAATTAAAGGTCCACAGACACGTTTGGTAAACTGGGTCTAACCTCGATCACATGCTCAGACACAGCTCTTCCTCCAGCTCCAAGCTCAATAGAGACAGCGCCATCTCACCCTGAGCAGGTGACTGCTTCCTGTTCTTAGGATGAAAGAAAGGGCTGTGTGAGCTGCGTGAGCAGGAAGGAAGGGCCCCTTCCCAGCCCCTGGAGGAGGAGCACTCACTGGTGAGCCCCTGGGACGGGGGACCAGCTAGACGTCCAGTGAGAGGGGGCGAGGCCGGCCGCTGGAGGAACCCGGAAGCAGGACTGCCAACCTACACTCCTATTTCCTAGAACCCAGGGCCGCTGGCAGCCCGTCAGTCTGGGCATGTAAGGGGCCCTTACCCACCCTCCCCTGCACTTCCTTCAATGATTTCCTCTTTTCCCTCTCTCCTGGTCATGAGCTGCAGGTAACGTCAGATGCTGGGCTGTACCATCCACATGGGCTGCCCAACATGAGCCACTCAACATGGTAGTGGACTCCTGGGAATGGACGAGTCCAAGGACTCATATTGGCTCTACCACTTAACAGGCTGATTTGCATTTATTGCCCATCCTTTCCTGGCCTGTGAAATGGGGATAACAGTACCTCGTGGGGATTCAGGTGGCCTGGTACATAGTAAGTGCTCAGTGAACAGTGGCTACTAGAGATGGATCATTTCTCTGCCTCCTAGGTCACCTGACCAATGGGTCTCTTTATGACTCACATCCATTAAACCTGGCCATTTCACTTGGGGTGATGTGGGATCCACAACACAGGGCCTGGCTGTGGGAACCCCATTATTGCCCAGCCTGGCCAGTGGAGCCCCTCTGGCTGCAGGGAAGAGTGTCTGACCCCCGGGCCACCACCTCACTCTTACCCAGGATCCTCCCTCTCTGCATCCTGTAAGCGTTTACTGAGCATCTACTATGTCCCAGGCACTATGCTCGATGCTAACACCTGATCAGTCAGGGGACTAAAGCTCTCCCACCAACTCCCTGCTTTAGCTGGTTAGAGAACGGGCATGGAATGTAGGGCTTTGAGACAGGAGTTGGGCATGTGGATTAAGAATCAAGAGCAAGGCCCACTGTGGGTGGTATGACATGGGTGTGTCAGAAAGAACGAGAACCTTCAAGACAATGGGTCCCGAGTTACGGTCCCAGACTGATTCTCATTCCCCTCCCCTTACAGGTGTGTGCAGGTGAGGGCTGGGGTGAGGCGGGGTGAGGCTGGGGGCCAGGGAGAGTGTCCACCTGAGCCTGTATGGATACTTCCTCACTTTACAGGCAACACTGAAGAAGGACACAGTGAGCACAGAGCTCACCAAGGTCCATTCCTTCCCACTGAGCGAGAGCAAGAAAGGAAACAGACGTGGTGTCACCAACCACATCAGACTGCATGGAAGCACAGTCATCCGATGGTCATGTGATGGTCCCACTGCAGACAGGCTGCCCACCCTCACCCACGAAGCCCAGGGCTGTTGGTCCCCAGGGATGGGGGTGTCAGCGAGAGGCAGGGCTGCGAAGAGCGAGGGCAATGTCCCGACCCCCATGGCTGCAGGATTCTGCGGACCATTCTCCAAGGGGATCTGCTGTGAGACCCAGAGGATGCATCAAGGCACAGAGAAACCTCCTGAGAGGGTGTACAGGGAGAATTGTGTCCCCTGAAAAACAATGTTGAAGTTCTGATCCGCAGGACTAAGAAGAATTCGACCTTATATGGAAACAGGGCACTACAAATGCAATTAGTTGACATGAAATCAAGCTTGAGTAGGGTGGGCCCCTGATCCCATTTGACTGGTGTCCTTAGACAAAGAGAGAGAGAGAGTGAGAAGAAAGAGGAGAGAGAGGAGAGAGACAGACAGACAGACAGACAGCAGGGATGTATGTGCACCTGGGACAACCCAGCATGAAGCCAACTGTCTGAAACCAAGGAAAAGGGCCTTGGGAGAAACCAATCCTGCCAATACCTTGATCTTGGACTTCCAGCCTCCGGAACGGGGAGAAATGAATGCTGGTTGTTGAAGCCGCCCCATCTGTGGAAATCCTGAGACTAGTCCAGCCTTTAAGTTCAGCTCATCCTCCCATCCTCCAATGCCTCAATTCCCTCCACGTCCTGCAGGCCAAGTGGTCTCGGGTCTGCTCACACTTAAGTCCCGGAGCTTTCTACCTCCTGAGACAGCCCGTGCACCTCAGGGCAAGAGGTAGGAGGTTCTTCTCTTGTTGGAGCACGTTCTCTGCCCCTCTGCCCCAGCCCTAGCCCCGATCCTCCCCTGGTTTCTTCTTCAGCCGCACAGATCTCTAGCTCAGAGGTTGGCAAAAGTTTTCTGTAAAAAGGCAAAGCTGTAAGGTTTTCGGCTTTCTGAGCCACACTGCCTCTGTCCCGCAGCATAAACAAAGCATGGTTCATAGGTAAATAAAGGAGTGGTCATGTGCCAATAAAACTGTTTGACATTGACACTGGAATTCCAGAGCTTTCACATCCTCCGGAAACCTCTTCTTTTGGTTCCCTTAACCCCCCCAATTAGAGAATGTAAACATAAAAACGATCGGGTGCGCTGGCTACAGTCCATGGGCCGTGGTTTTTGCCAACCCCAGCTCTGGATTTCCTAAGACAGCCACTGGGCCCGGGCTAAGGGCGGGCCACTGCCTCTAGGACCCTCAGATGATGGAGCTCAGGAGGGACAAGGTGAGGGAGTTGGGTTTGGGTGCGGCGGGGGGCAGGATGCGTGCCCGTGGGATGGGAGGTAGGGAAGAGGCAGAGCCAGGCTTCCTGAAACAAGAGTCTAGTCCCCAGAGATCCATCCAGGGCTTCTATTGACGGGAAATCCAAGATACAAAGGAGAGAAAGAGGGAAGCTCCAGAGCAAGACCAGATGTTTCCCTTTGACCAGATAAAGGAAAACCAGGACAACACAGCATTAAGTGGAGGATGATTTCCTGTCTCCACCTTCTCTCTGGGGATGGTGACATATGTGGACATCCCTACATAAGGCCAAGGGGTGCTCCCCCTGTGAAGGAGTCCCTGTGTGGTGGTGAAATTCAGTGTGAAAATCCACGACCTTCAGAGAAGGCAAAGTCAAGGCTTCCTGGGGAGTCTGCACTCTGTGGATTGGCCCACGTGGGAAGCCAGTGTGCATCTGGGTTTGCAAAAGCGAGGCAGGCAGAAACACCTTGCTGCTGGGCGTTGGGCACCTGCACCCAACTGTGATGGGACAAGTACACACACACACACACACACACACACACACACACGATCTTTGTTGTGTGGGTTCTACAGCAGGATCACAGGCAATCATGATATATATCTCCCTTTTTTTTCCTTGCAAAAGATTAGGCCCTCCTCCCAAAACTTTCCCTGTGAATACAGGTGAGGTCAGCAGGGAGTGCGTGGCTGGGTTTTTCCTGGATGGAAATGTCTGACCCTGGGCCTCTGAACAATCCAGGGTGGTGGAGCCAGGAGGGGGGAGGGGCAGGGCGCCTGGTGCAGGCTGGCTGCTCTGAGACTGAGACGGATGAGGAAGCTGGGACAAAGGAAGGATGTGGGCGAAGAGGAGAAAGTTAAGAGCAGGGGATGGGCCCCAGGAAACCTGGCTGGCAAAACAGAGAAGTTCAAGGGTGCGGAGAAGGCTGGAGTGCCTCGCTGGGTTCCTCAGGCCCTGTCCTCAATCTTAAGCTGGCGCTGTAACTGGGTGGGAAATCAGCCTTATAGGGCCCCACTGGGCCTTGTCCAGGGCTCTGGGTGGCTGGGCCAGTTAGTTAGCTCTGCTGCGGGGTAGCTGGACCCCGCCTGCTTCTCCCTTTCTCGTTTCTTCTCCCAGAAAGAGGCCCATGACAAGGACTGCCATGCCCGGGCCCACGGAGCTGTGGTTGGATTTCAGGCCTTCAGGAGGCCCGCGGGCGGAGCCGAGGCTCAGGCCTGGGGTCAGGTGGGCTGACGCAGTGGCAGCTGCTGCTAAGAGCTGCCCCCAGCAACACCGGAGAGGCGGGGGCTTGTGCAAATGTGTGTAAAAAATGCCCCCGAGACACACACGCGTTGAGCGAAGAATACAGAGGTCCTTGGGAGAGAAACTGCCTTTAGGAAGAGCCCACAGGGCCCTTGCCTCTGGCCCTGCAGGGGACAGTGCTGGGCAGGCAGGGCTCCCTCCGGGGCCTCGGGGAGCAGCACTCCTCTCATCACTTCCCCAGCCTGGAAGCAGGTCTGAGGGTGGCCACGGTGGGAAGCCCCGCCCCCTGGGTGGATGCTGAGTCTGGCTCAGGGGGGGCTTTGCAGCCTGGCTGCCTCTCTGGGGAGCTGTCGGGGGAAGGTAGTGACCAGAAGAAAAGCAAGCCAGGGCAGTGCCCGGGACGTTCAGAGAGGCTGCGCTGGCCCTGGGCCTGCTGCTGCCCTGGGGGCAGACCTCCCTTTAATGCCAGATCAGATGAGTGGGGTCCAGGGCTTTGGGAACATAAGCCCTTCCCTTACAAGGTATGGAATGTAAGGAGCATAAGACATCTCATTGATGTTTCTCTCTCTCTCCCCTCTTTCCTCCCCCCCCCCCCCCAAAAAAAAGAAGACACCAGAAAAAAAAGGAAGAAGAAACCCAAGACAGAGGCTCCCACCACTTTGCGAGCATGACCCACTCCCTGCGCCCTCCCTCAGGTGTGTGCGGGTCACGGCCAGGAGGCATGGAGGTGAGAGACAATGCAGGCCCTGAGCAAACAGAACCCCTGTAAGGAGGACACCACTGGGCTCAGCACAGGCTGGAGTTGGGAAGCAGAACTGCCGTAAACAGCTCCCTCCTTGCCTCCCAATGGCACTTTTTGGGGGTGAAGGGGAGGGGAAATCCTTCGCAAACAGGATGCTGTGTGCACCCCCAACACACGTGTCCCAAGAACCTGCGTCTGTCCTTGTGGTCGACAACATGAGCTGGTGTCTGTGCCGGAGTAGAGGGAGGGGAAAACAATGTTCTAGAAGCCCCTCTCCAGGACCCCAGTTCTCAGGGCCTGGGTTCAGGGTGTCATGGATGAAAGTGAGCTGAAAGGAGCCCCCAGAGTCATCCTCGCTAGGGAGCCACTGTGCTTTCTGAACTGCAGGGGCAGGGTGGGCAAAAGGGTGGTGCTCACAGAACAGGAGTGGGAGGTCTGGGAACAGACCCAGCGAGACCCAGAACTTGGGCGCATGCATGGCCGTCTGGCTGCACTTGGGCGCTGTGTGAGGAGGTGCCACCCAGACAGGCTTGGGCTGGGGCCTCTGAGACCAGACGTTTACATAGAAACAGCTTGTCCCTCTGCCCAGGTCAGCCCGTAGCCCTGCTAAGCTGGCTCAGCCCCGACGCCCGCCCCGTGTTCCCTGAGGGCTCAGCCGGCACCCACTGCGCAGAGACTGGGACAGCCCAGGACACACTGGGATGTGGAGCCGCCTGGCCCTGGCTTGTCAAGGGGAACCGAGCGCAGATGGCTTTGCAAACACACCAACACACATGTCCACGCACGTGGGTCCCGCAAGCCTGCTCCCTGGGCCTCCTGCCCTTGTCTCCGCAGCCCAGGGACTCCACACTCAGTTTGCACCCTCCTCCCTCACCTGCCGCACCTTGTGCATAATTCCATGTCTCCCTGGCTGGTCCTGTTGAGCCCCAGCTCAGGGGTCCCCCATTCTTCCCGAGCCAAAGGACACAGGTCTGGGGTACAGGGAAGCCTGAGCTGAGTTGTGCAGTGCTCCCAGGCGGGCCGGGTGGCTCCCTCTGACGGCGAGCTTCTGGCCTCCTAGGCTGGCAGAGGACAGAGCAGGGGAGGAGAGGTGGCTCGGGAGCTGAGGCCGCTAAGTGCCATCCCTTTGTCCAAACGTCACAGCCTGGAGCAGGGAGAGAAGGAAAGAGTGGCAAGGTGTCACACGGATGGACGCCGCAATGCTGTCTTTTGTGACCTAGCACCCTCTGAGGCCAGGTAGTTTGACATGAGCTGTTCCCATCCTCTGCAAGAAAAGGTGGAAGGGACTTCTCCTTATTGAGGTCCTACTATGTGCCAGACTCTGTGCCAAATGCCACAATACTTGATCTCATTTAAATCTGAGACTAGCCTGCAGATAGGTACAACACGCCCTTTTAATAGATGAGAAAACTGAGGTTCAGAGAGGGTTAGTGTTTTGCCCTAGGGTGCACAGCCAGAAAACAGCAGCGTCAGGATTTTAACCTACAACTCTTCCCACTGAAGCATACAGCCTCTGGACTCAGTAAGGATGCTCACCCAGCTTGTGGGCTAGGCGCGGGCCCTGTGGGGCTGGAGTACCAGCCTGCATGCATGTGGGGCTCTCAGAATGCTTGGTAAGGGCTGGAGGTACAGGAAGAGGGGTGAGACCAAGTCCCATACCACAGACTCCTGCGATGAGGAGAGGCTTTGCTGACTACTGCTGAGGCAGAATCTAGGCCATCAGGGCAGAAGTATATACCCAATCTCTCAGGATGGTTCTGGAAAGAGACCTGAAAGGTACACAGGTAATCTTTGCTAGAAGCTGGCAGAGTGGAGGGGTCAAAATCATGGACTTGGGGTCTAACGCAGTCTGGGTTCCAATACTTGCTCTGTTCCTTCCAGCTGTGTGATCCGAGTGCCTTGGTTTTCTCATAAACGGTGACAGTAACGGCACCTACCTCCTGGGGGGCGGGCTCTTAGGGCTCAGTGAGGTAATGCAGATGGAATGCTGACACAGCACCGGCCACACATCTCTGATAAGTGATACCCAGATGACAGGGATATGCTGGCAGTTGTGATGATGCGATGGGCATACAGGGCAACCCAAAAGAAACGGAAGCAGGAGCATGGACCCACTAAGCTGTGTTTGAAGTGGGAGAATTATGCTATGTGAACTATATCTCAGCAAAGCTGTTTGAAATAAAGTCATCTATGTCAGTATAAATTTTCGAATCATATTTTTAAAGTTAAAATGTAAAATTAATCTTAACGATATACTTTACTTAATTTAAATAGCTCCAAAAAATTATAATTTCAACATGTAACCAACACTGTCTGTGTGATGTAACAAATTATGCTGCACTCTCCTCCTTCTCCTACTTCTGACATCCCATGGGCTCCCCACCTACAGTCCCTCTTCATTCCACTCCCCACGAGTGTCCAGGGGCCACACATGGTGAGCGCAGGTACTGGACAGCAGGGGTCCAGGCCCACTACTCAGAGGGTGACCCAGGGACCAGCCACCCAGCTTGGAGCTTGTTGGAAATACAAGATCTTGGGTCCCACGAGGATCTACACTGCGCAGAGACTGGGACAATGTGCATTCAGATCACCTAGGGAATTCTACAGAATAAGAATTCCCTAGGTGATCTGAGTGCACATGAAATATGAGGTGGTGGTCTCTGGAACACGGGCTTGCCTTGCCTCCAACCCACCATGTGCTGAGCTAGAAATTCTAGTCTAGAAACCACAGCTCCTCGGATGTGACCACCAGAGGGGTGAACCTGAGAAGCCAAAGTGAGTTTTGACTTAGCCGCCCATGCCCTGGAACACGCCAGCTGGAGCTAAGGCCTCTTGGGGGGTCCCCTTTGCAGATTACAAACCCCTCCAGCCCCGGCACTGACCACTCCGCTGAGGGAGGTCCCCAGAAACACACGTATTGCCTCAGCCACTGGGGTCCGGCCAGGAATGAGGGCGAGGGGAGCGGCACAGGGCCTCCTGTGAGGAAGTCAGAGACGCTGTGGCAGGGAGTAGGGAGAACTTGCCCTACCTGTCTTTGTGCAACAGAGAATGCTGGGAGCTCAGAGTTGCCTCGATGGGGCAGGCTGCTGGTTTGAGGGAAGATTTCCTGAAAGCTAGGCCTTGTAGAGGGGTATGCGGAATACCTGACAGGTGGGGCTTGGTGGGTTCAGGGCACCACCTTGCCACGGGATGCTCCACCCACTGGGCATCAGCCTTCATCGGGGAGAATTAGGCAACGAGGTAGCACAGTCGCCACATGGCAGTGCTGGGGCCCAAATCCCATAGCAGACTCCCCTGAACAGAAACCTGGCAGGGACAAACAGTGGCGGGGGAGGGAGGTGGGTGCCTGGGAAGGAGAAGGTTGGCAGAGGAGTTGGGGAAAGGAGCAACTAGTGACCAAGACCAGAGGACATGGGCAGAGAGGCCAACGGAGAACACCTACTCTGCCGACTTCCAGAAATGCCCAGGGTGAGACAGGCGGCGGTTCCGTTTTGGCAGTTTCTCCAGCATGTCCATGAGCTTGGTGAAGGTGGGTCTCTCCTCTTGTTCAAAAGCCCAGCAGAAGAGGAGGATGTCCTAAAAGAAGCCAATGCGTGATGATTTAACATAAATGATGTCTATATTACTCCTTAGAACCTCATTGGATCTATCCATTTGTATACCCATTTGTCCCACTTCCATATTCTTCAATCATCCATCCACCCATCATCCATCCATTTGTCCATCTATCTATCCATCCATCCATCCATCAGGCCTGTACCCATCTAAACTAAATTCATGAATTTATAATCCATCCACCCATCCATCCAAAGATCCATCCATGCACCCAACCACTCATCGATCTATCATTCATACACCCATCCACCCACCATCATCCATCCATCCATCCATCCTTCTACTCACCTACTTTCTAGGCCATATGGCAGACTAGGTTACCCCTATTCTAAAAGGCCTGGAATACACTGAGATCAATAAAATACTCTTCAATGAGTTTGTGAGACTTTTCTTAATGGGTAGAGAGAAAAGCAATCCACATCGTAATACTATAAGTGACCTTCAAAGTCATAGAGGGGAAAATTACTTATAGTAATATTCTCACCTGAGAAAGGAAACTTAAGAGGCAGGCAGTCCTTAAAAGCATTCTAGATAATTATCCCCTCCCTAACGCATCTGTCTCTAATCAAAAGAGGGGAATTTGCTCTAGCTGGTGTGGCCCAGTGGATAGTGTTGGCCAAATAAAAGGGTCCTAGTTTTATTTCCGAAGAGGGCACATCCCTCAGTTGCAGGCTCTGGGCCCTGGTTGGGGGCAACCAATTGATGTGACTTTCTCACATCGGTGTTTCTCCATTTCTCCGTCCCTCCATCCTTCCTTCCCTTCCTCCCTCTTTCCTTCCCTCCCTCTCTCCTTCCCTCCCTCCCTCCCTCTCTCCCTCTCTCTTTCACTTTCCCCCTCCCTCTTTAAATCAATGAAAAAAATATCCTTGGGTGAAGATTAAAAACAAACAAACAAACAAACAAACAGAGGAATTCTTCATGCTACGTTTTAGAGGGCAATTATTAATACACTAGTGACTTGGTGCACGGATTCCTGCACACTGAAAGGAAATTAATTAGCAGGTGGCCGGTGGGGTGGGACAGTGTGAGGCTGGCCGGACACACTCTGGAGCCAACCTCCCATGGCCCCTCTCTGGCATCTGCAGAGTGAGCAGGGTCCCTCCAGCAGATGGGACCCCTCAGCCTGGCATGGAAGGATCTGGCCAAAACGGTCTCTCTGATATCCCCCAAGGGGTCCCGGAGTACGAGAGGGCACTCTGCAAAGTTGCTGTTGTGCAGAGTGTGGAATGCAAATGCAAGAGTGCAGTAAACCAGAGTCGAGGCCAACAATGCTCTAGCAACAACATAACCCACTGCCAAAGGTGGAATCATGCGGCCCCATGGGGAATTGGGCTCCCTCCTCTCTGGTTTTGGGGTACATCACCTGAGAACCGCTGCTGCCAAGTCACTGCAGCTCGGCAGCTCCTGTGTTGAGCATCTGCATCCTGGTGGTCAGTGTGCACCATAGCAACCGGTCAGAAAGTTGGACACTTAACATATTAGCCTTTTATATAGATAGATAGATAGATAGATAGATACTCAGGCTTTTCAGTTTCTGTTCTGAGTTGGACAATGCCTTAAATTTTCTAACATAGATGAAATTAAAATTAGATTACCAGTGATATTTTAATGAAGGTCTTTTTTAAAATTGATAGAAAAAGAAAGATTCCCTGGTTCTACTTATCGATAACTCAGCAGTCCATTGCCAGGAAAACCTGGCCAAGTGCTACTGCGCCCCTGATGGTAGGAACCTGAATTGCAGGCACAGTTCAGGGAGTTTTGCCTTCTAAGCTCCAAATCATTACAGGACAAGGCTGTGGGCATGCTTTTTTGGCTACCCTTTGGGAAAGCACTTGAAACCTTCACACACACACACACACACACACACACACACACACACAAAAGAAGGCCCAGAACGGTGTCTGCTGCTCCCCTTGTCCCCAGGACCTGGCACCATCCGACTCACCGAGATCTCTTTTCCCACGCCGATCTGGCTGAGGTTGGGTTTCAGGCCTGTGCCCATTTGCCAGATGATTGCCTCTGCTGGCTGGGTCTTGAAAGGCCACTCCCTGGCGTGAAGTTCATACCAGATTGTTCTGTTGGCAGACGTTGTTAAAGGGGTGCTGGTGTGATATGTTACTTGTATCCCCTCACTAACACCCACCCACCTACCAGCCTGCTGGCTGATCACTCTGTCCCCTACTTGTGGGGTTGCTTAAGGCTTTCTTGGTGTCTTAGAGAGTCATGCTTGTCCCAGGATACCACCCCTGGTGCCTTGATTAACATGAATCAAACCTAGAACCTGAGTAATTTGATAGAGTGTGGCTGTGACCTCTGACCTGTAATTCTAGAGAGCCACTGTAGGGTAATAATTAAGGATACAAGAGACATTTACCAGGATGTTCTCCACAACATGATGGGTAACACTGAAGAAAGCAGGAATGATGCAAGCGTTCAGTAAAAAGAGCGGGCTGCATGCATCATGGTAAACCCATAAAATGACATGGAATCCTACATTATTAACACATTTCAAAAAAACCTTGCTGACATGACAAAAATGCTCAATACATAATTTTAAATGAAAAAAAAAAGCTACGTATAAGATATAATGTTACTCATTTTTTTTTTAAAGCATTACATATGGACCAACAAAATAATAAAGAGAAGCCCTGTAAAGTGTTAGCAGTGGCTATCTCTGTGATAGGATAGGAATTTTTCCTTTTGTGCTTGGGTTTTTCTAAGTATGAATCATCCTGCAGAATAAATGAAAGGAAAAAAGCGGTCTGAGAGTCAGATTGCCTTGCGTTCAAGTTCTGATTCTAGTCCACGCTGGCTGCGTGATGCTGAGTAGGTCACGTTACTTCCCGAGTCTAGATTCCCTACTGCAGTGGGAGACTGTTTATCTGGGATGCTGAGTGGAGGACAATGCGATGCCAGGTTTATTCTATTGTAGAAGGATTGACCTTGTCGTCGCGTATTTCATAGACAATGGCAGTGGAATGACGGAAGAAAGGTCTGCTCCTGTGAGCAGCACACGGGAATGGACAGGCCCGGGCTGGGCAGGATAAATGATGCCGGGAGATGTGGGGCCGGTGAGGACCGTGTGGGTGTTCCTGGGATGCGAGTGTTGGAGCTTTCCCGTGAGGACAGGCCTCAGCTTGAAAGGGGGTAGAAACGGAATGATGGGGAACCAGCTAGTATTGTAAGAAATATTAACCGTGTTAACTGTGACCGTTTTATTCTGATTAAAGAAGGCACATTCCCCCCTGGCTGGAGCTGACTCGGAGAGGCAGCCCTCCCTCCCCGTTTGGAGCTGCCTGTTATCTGGAAAGAGGAGCAAAGATGTGCTACGGAAGCCAGCAGCCCTCTGATGATCCCCAGGCTCTTTCTGCATACCCACAGGGCTTTGCAAACCTCCAGCCTGCTCACCTGTTTGTTAATGTGGGCACTCCCTTCGCTGTTTCTCATGTAACCCCAGCCCTTGCAAATCACTCAGCCCTTTGAAGACCTCTAGCCTTCTGCATATCTGTAAACTCCCTTTGCCTACTTTCCTTTGTACTTATGCCTATATAAGCAGCTGGCTTATGATGGGCTGCACATATTTTTGTGGATAACCTGCTGCCAGCAATATTGGAATAAACGCTCGTATGTGATTCAGCCCTGCTCTGCTTTATCGGCTTGAGTGGTGACAGGCAGCACAGATCCACTGTTGGTCTAGTTACAAGCTCACTGAGAACAAGGCTCTGCAACTCAGGGACTCCCTGAAACCATCCTCGGAGCGGATCTTTCCTCCAGGCTAGGCTAACTGTGTAAATCTGCCTTACAGAACACACCCCGCTACCCTTTTGAATCAGAGGACTGTCAATCAGGCTATTTCTAGGGTTCCACTTCTCTCTCAGCATCGCTCCTCCCTGCTGACCTCATCCTTCGGGGTGGGGAGGGGTGCTGCGGCTCAGCGCTGGGTGCTCAGGAAGTTCTCAGGTTAAGGTGCTCAGTGCTTGTTATCATCATCACAATAAACAATAACACTGGCTGGGTGTTTACTTCTCAGTGCATGTGCCCTGTCCTTCTGGGAACTGTGAGTAACAAAGCACCCTTTCAATGGCAGTCATTGCCCATCTGGCCCATCATATCTGAATAATATTGAAAGCTCCATTTTAAAACAGGAGGCACTCTCATTATCCCCATTTTACAGATCAGGAAACCGAGGCCCAGGAAAGTTATGTTATCTTACTCGAAGTCACACAGCAAATAAGAGATTGAATCCAGTTCATCTGACTACAGAATTGCATCACTGGCCATTGTACAAGACTGGCAACCCTGTGGCCCATCATGCGATCGGGGCAGAGAATTATCTGGGAGGACAACCCCTGTAGTGGAGAGGTGAGGGCTGGTGAGGAGCACAGACAGATGCATGCTGCACGGGCGCATGTGGAAAGAAAAAGGGGGGCTGGGGGGTGGGGGGCGCGGGAGCTCATGCTGGGCTGGGTGCCCTAGGTGTGTTTGCTCACTTACTCCTTACAACACCTCAGTGGGTTTTATGATCTTTAATTAGGGTTCTGAGTGGTGAAATGACTCCCTGGGTCAAAGCACCAAATCTGGAGTGAGGCTGCCCCACGTTTGACTCCCAGCTCCTGCCTGACATTGAGCCCCAAGTCACTGAGCCCCTCGAAGCCCCTGTTTCCTCACCTGTCAATTGGGAACGGACATGACACCTGTTCCTAGGAGCCCGGACACAGTGCTCACTGCGCTTCTGAAAGTCCCTTTGGCTCTAAGTCATGTTGAGCATGGCGCTCCCAAGCACCAAGGGGCATCTACTTGGCAGGAAACCAGAATAAAGGTCTCCTTAGAACTTTCTTCCGCAATGAATTGCCAACTTGCAAGAGAAACTCACTTAAAGAAAAATACCAGTTGCTGAAGATGAAAACACCAGTGGAAAAGTAATTACTTACTTTGGTACATTTTGTTAATTACATTCTTCTTTCTTTTGCTAAATTTATATGAAAATATACCCACTTAATTAGTGGAATTTGGTTTCAGATAATAGTTTCTAACTAGATAAAGATTGTGGCCTAAACGAATCAGGGAAATGACAGCCACTAATGGGTCCAAGGGACAGTCCTGATGACAGTTGAGAATCCTAATGTGGCAGGAACCCCCTTCCCAGGTTGCACAGAGGGGGCACAGTGGGTACTTTTCCGTGGAAGATCTCTCCGTGGTGCCAAGCCTGTCTACACACACCTGCAGGCCTGCGGCTTCCCCAGCGTTATCTCCGCCAGCCCTGCCACCGCCCGGACGGCTCAGGTGAGGGTGAGCCGGGCCATGGAGGGAGGAGAGCACAGAAGCCTTCCCAGCGGCACCTCCTCAGAGCACTGGGCCCGCACCTTGGGGCTGTGTGTCCTGAACCCTCACCCCCTCTACTTCCAAAGACATCTCACTCAGCCCGGTCCGTGTGCCTCAGTGCTTGAGCCTCGACCTATGAACCATGAGGTCACGGTTCGATTCCTGTTCAGGGCACATGCCCAGCTTGCAGGCTCGATCCCCAGTGTGGGCCCGCAGAAGGCAGCCCATCGATGTTTCTGTCATCATTGATGTTTCTATCCCTTGCTCCCTCTCCCTTCCTCTCTGGAATCAATTAAAAACAAAACAAAAAAACAACAGACATGGGGTTCTCTCCCAGGATGGCGGTTACCATTCACTGACAATCCTAAACTCTTCTGTCCCAGGCTCGAGATGTGCAGATTCTGCGCCTTCTGGCTGGCTCCACTGGCTCCACTGGCCAGCTCAGGGCAGCTCAAACTCACGGTGTACAATCGGCCCTCGGCCTTCCTGCCCCACCTCCAGGGTCTCTCTACCTTGGTGAGGTGCTAACTCTCCCTCCGCCCAGGTGCTTACGGTAGAAATCTGGCTGCCACCCACATCCCGTCCACCACCAAACCCCATCGCTCCCATTTCTGAATGCATCTCCAATTCCAGTTCCCACACCCGCTGGCAGTGACTCAGTGGACAGCACCAGCATCTCCGCCTGCACTGGTCACCCGGCCTCACTCCTGTCCTTCTCTTCCATTCTGCACACACTGTTGTGGTTGTGAATGAGCCGGGTGGCTGCCATGGTCCATAACCAGTTAGAAACCAGGCATGGAATTAGCCAGGGCCACCCTTTCTACTGTACCCGTCAGATCCCCCAATCCCAGACACCCAGCCGCTGTGCCCCCACAGACAGGGGCCCTGTCCCTTCCGAAAGCGCCGAGGGAAACCCGGGACGCAGGCCTCTGCTGGGCGGAGGCTCTCGAGGGCCAGGGGGGCACCTACCCGAGGGCAAAGACGTCCGAGTGCTTGGAGAAGGGCAGCTTGTCCTCCTCCGTGTCGGGGGACAGCTGGCGGATGATCTCGGGCGCCAGGTGGCACAGCCAGCCGTTCTGGATGCGCAGCTTGTCCTCCCGCCTGGAAAGCAAAGCACAGGGTGAGTCCCGTGTCGCTGGCCCGGGAGGGTCAGGCCCCAGAGCGGACCCAAACCCCTGTGCCATCTCTGCTGGCTTCTTGCATCTCCCTGTTGGAGCACTGCCTGACTTTGTACTTGAGGCTAAAGACCCAGTGGGAGTGGCACAGGGAAGGCTGGTCTGGGGAGAGACACGCAACACCCAAACCATCGTGGGGTCCCTTCGCCTCTGAGGCGCCCCTCCCCCGCTGCATTCCATAAATACAGCCGATTCTCATCATTTGTGGGTCACATTCTGTAGACTCCACACATGTACCAGCGAATCCGAGATTGGTGCTCCTGGGAAGTAAAGACAGATACCCACATGCGCATGCGCACACACCTCTCACATACATCATCTCAAATCCCCAAACCACCCGTCCTGGTCCATTCTGTTTTCTTTATTTTGCACAAGAGAAGTTGAGGCTCCGAGTGCCGAGTGCTTGTCTGGGGCTGCCCCTCTACCCACTGCCAGCTGGCCCCAGGGCTGGGGCTTCTTGTGCTGCATGGCAGGCACCCCCAGCTCCACCCCTGGTCATCTCCCCAGGGCGCTGGAGCAACAGGGAAGAGTGGCCCTTTGTTCAGCCGAAGCAGGGAACAGGCCTGTCACGTGACTCCAATCCTTCCCCACCCTGCATGCTCTGAATGACTGCATGGACGTGATGCTGATTGGGGTTCCCAGTACATTTGAGTAGGTGGGCTCCACACCCGGAGTCGGTGAGTGATGAGGACCAGCTGTATTTATGGAGCCCGCACTATGACACCAGGCTGTTCTCGCACCAACGGGACCCCATCCTGGAGCCTGAACTTTGGTAGGAAAAGGCGATGACAAGTGAATTAAATAAACAGGAAAGACACAGATGGCAAGCATTGCACAAAAAGTTAAAAAGGGAAAGTGTCAAAGATGAGAGGAAGCTGGCTTTAGGTAAAATGTGAGCTAAGATGGGCATGACCCAAAGGATCCAGTCCTCTGAACATGAAAACTATAGGCAGGAGGGGCAGTGAGACGAAGGCCCAAAGCAGGCCCATGTGGGGTGTTCTAGAACCCCAGGAACTCCGGTGTGAGTGGCACAGAGGATACCATCCTGTGCGTCCATTCAAATGTGTCCACCCAACCCCGGAGGTGGGCCTTGGTGGCTCCAGCACCACAAACCATGCTGCGTGGGCACCTTTGGGCATCTGTGAGCATTCCTCAGGACCCAGCCCTACAGGAGACAGGAAGCTGGCTCCCTTCTTCACACTAAATCCTTATCAAGGGCACAACTTTCCATTTGAGACGGGAGTCTGACCTCCTGTGGGTCTCCCTTTTCTCCTAGAAAAGGACCGGTTGATACAGGAGAGTGGCAGGTGTGGGAGAAGGGGATGGGTATCTCGAACCATCAAGAGTGAGGATGTGCCCTGGCTGAGGTTGCTCAGTGGTTAGAGCGTTGGCTGCACACCTAAGGGCTCAGGTTTGATTCCCTGTCAAGGGCACATATCTGAGTTGCAGGTTCGATCCCTGGTGATCCCCATTCCCAGATAGGCATGTGTTGGAGGCAAGCAATCAATGTGTCTCTCTCACATTGATGCTTCTCTCTATCTCCACCCCCCTCCCATCTTTCCCTTCTTCTCTCTCTGAAAATCAATGGGAAAGAATACCCTCAGGTAAGGATTAACAAACAAACAAGCAAACAAAAAGTGGGGCCTCAGGCTGACTGGGTTGGAGGCTTCTTCCAGGGTGGCCTCTGAGCCCCGCAAGGGGAGGCATTGCCTCCTGAACTCGTTCCTTCACATCCCACACGGGGTCCTGCCCTCACTCAGCACCTTGGAGAGCAGCACCTGTGCTTCCAATACAGCAGCCCCTGGCCATCCTGGCTACTGAAGAAGAGAGCTTTTTACTTATTTGAATTAAAGTTAAAATAGCCACCTGTGGCTAGTGGCGACCACCCTGGACAGTGCTACGTCAGACTATTATTTACAACAAACGGACTTTTTTTTCACTCCTGTATATGTTAATAGGTTACCTTTTAACATGACCTTAAGTGGGAACTTGCGCTTTTTAAGCACACATTAAAGTTAATATGGAAAATGTTTGTTCATATCCTCCCTGAAGTCGTCTTGCAGACCTCGCTTGGGGGCGGGAGAAGCCTGACGAGAGGCTGCAGGAGTTTGAGTTCCGGTTTGGGCTGGACAGTCCTTCGGGTGGGGCTGTTCTGCGCATGTGGATGGTGAGCAGCATTCTGGCCTGTAGACACCCTTTCTCCCTGCTGTGACAACTAACCATGTCTGCGGACATCACAAATGTCCCAGCGAGGGGCGGGAGCGTGTAGCTGAGAATCACTGTTCAAATTTCTACATTAAATAAGGAAATGGTCCAAATTTCAGTTTTTCACCGTCAGTGACACATGACTTGCTCCTGTGCCCTACACAGCGGACAGGACAGAACACATCGCCTGTGAACAGCAGGGATAAAAGGACCCATCTGTTTCTGACTAGCTCTGTGACCCTGAGCAGACCACAGTCTCTATTTTCCCACCTACAAAATGGGTACACAGTTTCCCATGGCCGGTGCAGGAATGAAAGGTGACAGTGCCTGGCACAGGGCTGTGTTAGCTGCCAGGGCCACACAACCAGTGGGCTTAGGTATTAGCTGTGGATGTGTTTTTTTACCTTGAGGACTCAGAAATGAGGCTGAGAGTAGAGCCCAAAGGAAGAATGCCATAAAAGAAAGAGGGGCTGTGGTGATGGCAAAGGGGGAGTGTGCGGGTCCCCATGCAGCAAACCTGGAAATAAGTGCTGCTGGGAGCCAGAGGAAGGAAGGATCCGGGGAGCCAGCCCGCCTGGTTTCTGGGTTCTGACTCAAGGCCTCTTTCCACCTCTCTATTTACTGATGTATCTGATCATTTTCTGCCTGTTTTCTTACCTTAGATGCTCATCTATATGGTTTTGAAGACTGCGGTGAATTTTGGGGGGTGGAGTAAAATCTAAAAATGAAATGTAAGCTTCTGTTCGTTTCTGCATTACACAGAAAGAGCCAAATCAAGTCTCACTTGATTTCGGACGGTGGGACTTACTGGTAGACTCGGGGTATTATGGAGCGTGAACAAAGTTCACTTTGAGGAGGCCTGGGTGCAGCGCAAAGACACCGTTATCCTCAAAGGGAAGAATGAAGAGGAAGGAGAGAAACTGTGAGGCTGCCTCTCTGGGAGGCAAGCCATTCGTTATATGTGGAGCTCCGTTAGAGAAAACACGCGCGCGCGCACACACTTTCCAAATTAAAAGCCACACAGGCGGCCCTTCTGAATTATGGGTTGTTTACTTGGGATCAAGCTGTTTTTCACACGGTCACCTCGCTCTAGGGTGAGAGGCGCCTGAGAGTTAATTACTTAACTGGTGGTTAATGATTCTCCTGTGTGATATTGAGGAGGTCTATGCAAATTAATACTAATTACAACTCAGCAGCAGCTACTATTTGTAGTTTCCTGTGCCCCAGGCACTGCGCTGGACTGCATGTGGCATCTGATTTGATCCGCACAAGGACCCGGGGATGAGCACAACCCCATCCGTCATTTTCCTTGCAGACAAGGCAAGTGAAATTCAGAAAATGACCATGACTTGACTGAAGTCACAGTGAGTAAGTGGCCAACCCACGCTGGGCCCCAGGTGTGTCTGACTTTAAATCCCTTGCTCTTAACTGAAGTCCTGCTCCACTAGAATGAATGGATTCATAAGAAAACTTGGAAGGAGGCTCTTGGGTGATTCCCACTTCCGGGTGAGCACTTGGGATGAGGGAAGAGTCCTCCAGTGAAACTCAAGGGCCAGGGCTTTGCAGGATTCGGGATGCTCGGTGCCCACCTGGGAGTCAGCCCGGCACCATCATGAGGCGGCCTGGCTGCTCAGTGAGGTGACCTCAGGCTAGCCCACACGTAGGTCACTAAAACCATTTAGGATGACACCCCGTCCTGTCCTGATCGTTGTCTGTCAAGAACCCCTCTGAGCTCTCCCACCACTTCTCACCTGCCAGCCTGCAGCACCCCGGAAATGCTGAAGAGCCCAAAGTCTGTGATCACCACTTTGCCATTGTCGTAGAAGACGTTCTTGGACTTGAGGTCCTTGTGCAGGATCCCCTTGGCGTGGAGGTAGCCCATGCCCTGCCAGGAGCAAGGAGACAGGGCTGTCAGAGGAAACCTGAGTGCTCGCTGCCTCCGCAGCCCGGGTTCCTGGTTCGCGCTCCCTGCTTTGCCCATGTGACCACACCGATAGCAGAACCAGGGCCCAAATGCAAAGGCATAGAGGTGGGTGGGAGAAGGCCTGGCAGATGGGAACAGGCAGGATCCCCAAGACACAGATCTGCCATCGCCCTCAGATCACTGCAAGACCGGCTCCAGCTAGCTCCGCTGTTTCCTGAATTAGAAACAAAGGAAGATCTCTCCAGAAGAAAAAGGGTGGGAACAAATCTGAGCTGAGGGCCCCCGAGAAAGGAATCTCATTATCCCCCCACCCCTCCACCCCTGCCCCATTCCTCTTTGACAAATAACTCCCGCAGGAGACCTGCTCTTAGTGTACTTAACCTCGCCCCTGCCCCTGTCGAACACCCTGCGTTCCTCAAGAGGCGGGACTTGATCGTCAAAAACACGGAGAAGGACCTGTTGAAGGTGCAGCTCAAGGGTGGGTGTCTAGAGTTCTGTTTGCCTTTATGAGAAGTTACATTTTTATTGCTTCTCACCCCTTAGTCCTGACACTTCCAATGGAAATAAAAGACCGGATACTGACTAATGAGGCATCTGCCAGAAAACACAGGATGTTCCTGCTTGTTTTAATCCCAAATAACATCCAATAATTGGATGTTTCCCCAGCAGCTGGAGAGAGATGGCTAACACACCTGGGAATTCAAGGGCTTGCGGAGTAAAGGATGCTAACAAGGAGAACGCTCCCGCCTGGTCCCTGTACATGTCCAATTATCATGACGACGAGGCACTAGATAGGAACCCAACGCTGACACACCAGCCCTAATGGTTGTATCCTGGGGCAAAATTCTTACGTACACTTGGCATACCATTTGTCAAGTCAAGTCTGCTTTCTTTTAAGCCCAGACTATTGGTCTGTAGTCAGACTATGAGTCTTTCTGAGGTTCAGGGAGCGGGGGCCCAGACCCTACAGTACCTTCACAATTTCTTGGGCAATCTGCCTGGTTTTATTGACATCCAAGACGATCTTGGCGTCCCGCACCACCGAATAGAGGGTCCGTCCTTTACAGAGGCTGAAAAGGACGAGAGAAATCGTTGGTAGCTGTTGAGATAAGGTTGACCTTGCCCGGCTGGTGTGGCTCAGTGGTTGAACATTGACCTATGAACCAGGAGGTCACAGTTCAAATCCCGGTCAGGGCACAGGCCCAGGTTGTGGCTCAGTCCCCAGTAGAGGGTTGCAGGAGGCAGCTGATTGATGATTCTTTCTCATCACTGATGTTTCTCCCCCTCTCCCTTCCTCTGTGAAATCAATAACAATATGTTTTTAAGATGAGGTGACCCACACAGTTATTAGAAGTGACATGTAATAGGGTGGACCTGTGGACATGCCTGTTAATACTATGGTACAGTAAGCCTGGGGCGGGAACTCAGGCTGGTTCTGGGAGGTGCGTCTGGGAGCAAGTTCTTCTGGGCTCTCCAGGATCTTCACCGCACCCCACCACCCACCCCAGCCTCCAAGGACTCTACGGAATCCAGCCAAGTTCCCTCTCTCCCAGAGTCTCAGGAGGGAGAGCTGTGCACACACCAATGATGGACGGGTCCTCAGACCCCTCTCAGATAGCACCCTGCCGGCCTCTCATCCCAGCTGCTCCTGCTCGCCAGGAGCCGTGGTTTGTGGGGACAGTGATAAAAGACCAGCAAAGTGGCCACTGATGCACACTAATTACCATCAGTAAATGATGCATTAGTCTTCAGACAGAAGTGTGTAAAGACCAATAATACTCCCCCAAACCAGATGCCTGTCTAGATAGAGGGTTTTTCAAACTATTTTCAGCCTCATTGAGTTCATTTCCAGGACCAGTGGTTTAAGATGAATGACAAGATGGAAAGGGACATTAGGCAGTGGCAGTCACACCTTCTCATTTAGTTGTTGGCATGCACATCTGTCCTTCCCCTGCAAAGTGAACCCGACCAGGCACTCACAGACCAGGAACTCAGTAAACAGTCACTGAATGAACGAGTAAGGGAGGGAGGGGATGAATGAGTGAATGAGTGAATGAATGAATGAATGAATGGAGTTCCAGATTCACCAGAGCATCCCCAGCCCCTAGCACCAACATCTCACTCACAGGGTCCAATGTTGGCTGAAAGAAACTGGAATGACATTAGGAAAGTTCATTTTCCATCTACCTCAACATTAGAGCTTGCATTTTTCTTTGATCTATGACTTTACTGCTGAAATACCACAGGCATTCCATTCATTCCCTTAGAATTTATTGAGCCCTTGCTGTGTGCTAGACTTGGCTGAGATAGTGTGGGTGAGGGCGGAATTCCCATATTAGACGGTTTCAGAATAAATCCCAGCTCTCTTCCTGAGTGACTGTGTGTCTTGGTGCGGTACTTCACCTCTCTGGCCCTCTGTTTCCTCATCTGTTAAAGGGAACTAATGATTCCCACCTCCCATAGTGAGCAGGAAGACAGAATGAAAAATAGGCTCCGTACCTTGCTTGGCACTTGGTGGGAAGTGTGAACAGCGGTTAGAAGAACAGAGGCCTAGAGCTGAATGCTATGGGTTAGGATCCTCGCTTGTCAGCTACTGGCTGTGTGATCCCAGGTGGGTGAGTTACCCCCTCTGAGCCTGTTTCACTGCTAGTAAAAAGCAGTCATTAGTTCCTGCTTTCTAGAGTTCATAAGAGAATAACATGACATCGGCTGTGTAACACATGGTAAGTACTCAGGTAATTCTGGCTACTAAGAGAAGTAGCAAATGGTCAACACACATTTGTGCAAGCCTACATAAGTTTACACACACACACACACACACACACACACACGTTTACACACACACACATACACACATGTTCACACACACACACACACACACACACACCTATTATCTCTCTATCCATCCATTCACTCACCCAAAATGCTAGCCCATGATCTCTAAGATTCACTTCCTCACCTGCTTACTGTGAGGGTCGCTGACTCACAGGGAGTCTGATTCACCTGTCTGTCTGGGTCGCTGACTCAAAGCTGTCCCCCAGGGCCGGTGAGGTGAGGCGGTGAGGCAGGCAGTGTGTTTGCTGAGGCTTCGAGAGGAGAGCTGGAGGGGGTTGGGCTGCGCAGCCAATTAACCACATTGACATTTAAATATTCCCAAGGCGGGACTGTGGGCGGATTCCCTCCCCTGGATACTCTGTCCTGAACAGACACCTACACTCCTTGCAGGGCAGAGCCAAGAAAATACCATCCCGCGGCAGATGGCACAGCAAACAACTGCAACAGGCTCCCCGACTCTCCGACTCCGCTGCTCAGGAAAACCAAGACAGGTCGCAGGCTTCAAGTGTCCAGCCTGTCTTCTTCCCATGAACACCTTGCTCTCCAGCAGCAGCTGCAGTCACCTGCTTCCTCACTGCCCCATGCGTCGGGAGCCCCGGGGTACGCTAACCCTGACGGACGGGATACAAATGGTGCGCCCACAGCTTGGCGCGTCTGCTATGTGAAATATACAAATAACCCACGACCAGCAATTTCTCCCCTAACGAAACACGTACCCAGCAGGCATCCATACTCGTATTCACCCACACACACGTACTAGAATGTTCCAGAATGTTAACAGCAACCTATCCTAATAGCCCCAAGCTGGAACTAACACAAATGTTTATCAACTGAAAAATTGATAAATTGTCATTTACCCATATAACAAAAAGAACTATATTCATACCGTACTGCATAATAAACAAACCGTTGCTAACTGCAAAAACCAACCACAAAACACACACATATACACACACAAAAACAAACAAACAAACAGAACACAACAACAACAACCATGAATGAAGTTCATTAAAGTGTTGAGAAAAGAAGCCAGATACACAAGACTCACACTGAATTTACACAATGAGAAAAAGACGTGCCTCAGGCAGCAGAGGTGACCCGTGGGGCTGCGGGCTGCGAGGGGCAGCAGGTGGCCTTGATCTGGTGCCTGTTCTATGGAGATGCGTTTAGTGAAAATCCACCAGGCTGTGCTCTTAGGATCCAGACTCTCTGGCAGGTACATTATCCTTCCAAAAATAAGTTTACTTAAGAAAATCAGCAAGAAAAGGATGAACCGTTAATCCACGGCATAGGAATTTAAAAGGAAATCTAAGCCAATACCCGAGGTGTCCATTCCTAACGTCCTCCCTGTCCCCAGGGCAGTGTCTGCAGAGGAGCTAGGAGCTCCCGAGGCGGGCTGTGCCCAGCCAGGCATTTTGTCCCACTGTCTCTGAGACTCGGGCATGTCACAGTTCCTCGGTGAATGGAAACTGTAATGTGGCTACAAACGACGTTCACGGCAATGGAGATGAATGAGGCCTGCTGGCCTCCTACAGTGCCAGTCTGGGGGGTCAGGAGAAGGCGTTCTAGTGGCAGGAGGAGATATTTAGTAGCCCCTCTAGGCATGTGCGTACGCGCACACACACACACACACACACACACACACACACACACACTCCCTCCCTCTCAGTCTCTCTCTTCAACAAACATCGTTTTTCCAAGAAGAGAAGCAGAGACTGAAATCTCTGATCTCGCCCGCAGGCCACCATGCCTCCCAGGCCTGGCTCCAAGCAGCTCATGTAAGGCCTTTCCACCTCACATCCCAGGTGACACAGGGAGCCTTTTGGCCAAGATGACACAGCAAGTGTGAGACTTTCGTTGTAAACCAGCCTTAAAGAGGCTGTCAGAAACGATGAAATGAAACCATGTGGGTTTATCTCCAAGGACCTCTGCCCAAACTGACTCATTCTGCCCAAACAGTGGCCACAAGCTGGCCACTTCCTGTCCCTCCCCCGATCTCCTCACCACCAGGCCCAGAACCCAGGCTGGGGTGAATGGTGGGGAGGGTGTGTGTGTGTGTGTGTGTGTGTGTGTGTGTGTGTTGGGGTGGGGCAGCCACCTCTGAAGACATTGATTATCAGCCCAGCGCTGCCACCTCGGTGCCGCTCGGCCTTGGGGACTCATGTGAGGATGCTCCCAGACCCACATCTGTGACCATGGGTGGGGTGCTGAAGAAGCCTCCTGCATGTGTCCACATCCCGATCCTCAGAACCAGAGTGGCCTTACATGGCAAAGGCCCTGGCTGCTCCGAGGCAGCTGGTTTCAGTCAGAGGGGGAGTTAAAAACACTGGCTCTGCCAGCAGGGATGCACAGTCCTTCCTCCTCCCGCTGCCTTCTAAGCACCTTTAAAAACTCAAAACCCCTTTTAATTGCCCTCCACTTCTTCCTCCCTTGAGCAAATAAATCCCATTCCCAGCAACAGGTTGCACGCTCCATCAAATTCCAGCCGCAGGCCAGAGCTTTCAGTTCATGAATCTAACTTGGGAGATATTAAACCTTGGGCCTCTGGGGCCTTCTAATCAAAAGTGCTGGGTGAGCTTCCTCAGTGAGAAATGCCAGCTGTTTGCCACCTGCTTAACTCCACGTGCACCCGGGAATGAAGAGTTATGGGGTTCCATTAAGCAAGGGGCTGGCCGAAGGCTCCTGTCCCAGGTGGAGAAAGATGACAGCAGCCTGCCAGGCAAAGAAATATGCAAAGCAGGAACCCCGGCTGCCTGGAGAGCAGGCTGAGTTTTTGCTAAGGTTCTTTCCTCCCACTCTCTCCAGCCTTTGATGCTGCAGCAAAGCTCTGAGAAGGGGGAGGGGAAAGGAGACAGACTCTCAGTGTTACTGGGTTCTCTCTAAGGGTTGGCTGCACTGAGCACTCTAAGGACTGGGATGGGGTTCTTCGCATTAGGGGGCGCTCCTGCCGCTGCCTGTGACCCACGCATCTGGGCATCTGCCTTCCCGGGTCTGGGCCGCACAAGGGCATAAACAGCCTCTGGAGAGGTGTGGGCTTCCAGGCCACTTCCAACAGCAGCCTGGCCAGCCCTCTGCCTCCTGTCACACTGCATGGTCCGGCCACCATCCAACACTTGCTCTCCTGGACCTTGTCCAAAGACACCCCGGGGCAGGCTGCTCCCTAACGCTGCAGCACATCCCCTCAGCATCTCCTAAGGGTGAGACTATGCATCTCGTTCGGCATCCCTCGCATTGC